CACTTGTTCTCTAGATTCTTGCTTCTTGCCTCTTCCCAAATCCCCCTTCCTTTCCGTATCTTCTACTTGTCTCTGGATATGCTAGTTCTTTCTCTTTGGCATTTAAACACACTGAAAGTCTCTTCCAATTGGGGAAATGGACACCATGGATCGATTGTGTTATGAATTTTGCATGAGGATGGAGCTCTGTGCTGCTTCCTGTGCATCTAACAAAGTGCTGGGCCTTCTGGGGGTTGTAGGCCCATTAGGAGATTGCATCTTCACTGAAAGCCCTTAGACATTCTGCAACATTTCTTTCAATTCAGAGCTCTCTCTTGAGTTACTGGGCCCCAGACACCCCCTCAGTGGATAGGCATTGTTTCTCCGGAAAGGCCTTTGATTCCTCCCGCGTGTAGAATGTTGTTGTTCTTCTTCCACTGAGCAGATGCTGACCAGGTAGAATGGTGGTGGGGAAGACCACAGCAAGGCGCTGTGCCCAGCACACCGTTTAGCCACCTGGGCGTCTCCTGGAACATGAATCTTCAAGACATGCTGTCTCCATGCACCACCAATCCTTCAATGGGGAGGTTCTGTGTATCTCGTTCCTTTAAAGGGGACTATCTAAATGTGTGCTTTATGTGGAAAGAACTAGAACACATCCTCAGTGCACTCCGTGGGAAGTATTTGGAAAATTAGAATTTTATAAAAGTTATTTCTATTTTCTAAATATAAACGTCCATTAGCATTTTTCAACCATCCTTCAGAATTAAAAGACTAATTCTTCCACTTGAGTCAGTGTGAGGGAAATTTGATTCATTTCCCTAAAACTTCCCTCACTTATCTAGAAAGGTAGTTGCAGCAGGGTTGAAATTTATCAGCTTTTCAACAGTGTAAAACCCCATTATCTGAGGAGTGCCTCACTCAGGTGACTTTTTGGAGTGTCCAAGTGAACAGGTAGGTTGGAAGGTGGACAAACCACAGGGTTTTTCAGAATCTAGCATGACGTCAACTTGCCAGGGGCTGTTGTCAAGCTTTTGAAAGCCAGAAGCTCTTCCAGCTGCTGAGCCTCCCATCTGCCATCCTCACAGGCTGTCCCACAAATAGCTTGCCAGAGGTTGAGGTAACTAACAGCAGCATGAGGCCACCACCTTCCACTGAGACTTTTTGTGAATTTGGTTCCTGAGGTTGGCCGTAAGCTGTTATTGAGGTACAGATGTTTTCCAAAGTGTTTGTGCTCATGCGCCAGCTCCCTCATCCCCACAGGCCCACCCCGTCTTCTCACACACCCTATGCGCTGCTTCTGGGCACCACTTCCCTTCCTCCCTCAACCCCATGGTCTTGGCATCTCGTGGCTGAGCTGAGCTGTTAATGTGTTTAATTGTGTTGAAAGTAAAAGCAGAGGTCTGAGAAAACAATTAGCCCTAAAAGACACCAGGAGCGGCCCAAGAGAAGACCCCTGCAGCCTGTTACAGAGCAAGGTGACAGCTTGAGGCAGCATGCTTGTTTATCCGTGTCTCGGGTGAGCGTGCGTGTGCGTGTGTGTGTGTGTGTGTGTTCTCATCCCCTTCCTTTCTGCCTTTGTCCAGATGTGAGCATGGGCTTCGTTGATAACAAGTGATTTTGACTTTTAGGGGTGCGTGCGTGCATAACCTCTGGTGTCTGTGTGTCTGTGTTAGAAGGACACAGGTCCGTGTCTGGTGACACACGTTATCTGGGCCCTCCCCTGTGCAGCTCTGTTGGTTAGGAAGGGAGAAGCCTCCCTGAATGATTTGTTGTGTGTGACTTTTCCCGTGCGCTCTTCTCATTCCTCCTCAGTCCCCTCCTGCTTGCCATCTCCGGGCCACCCACTTCCTTCGGAAGTTTTCTAGATCAAACTGCCAAAGTTCACTTTAATTTTGACTCCAACTTTGAGACTGACTTAAGCTTTAATAGTAAGTAACCCTGTTGGTGCTAGTACTCCCTAGCCCTTGTTTCCCAGATGAAAATTTCTTGGGGCAGAAGGAAATAAAAAAGAATTAGACTCCTTTTGCTATATAAATAGATGTGACATTCAAACCCAGAGTTAAATGGAATTTCTCGAACATTAGTAGGCTTGTGCGATGACCTATGAAGTCAAAGTCACTAAAGTTTTCTGATTAATTAGTTACATGTAGCAACTTTAGTGCTCTAAAAAAAAAGAAAGAAAGAAAACACTTAGCAATACTGGCTACCTACTAAGATTGACTAGGCTCCTAGAGAGGTTTGCTCTGATGATATTGAGACCTTTTCTTTGCAAAGAGCTGGTGGAAACTGAGGATTTTGCAAACAGAATTTAGAAGGGAGGGAAATACTTCACGATGGCATGACTTTGAACCAAGCATAGCATTCATTAAAAGGCTGCCCAGTCAGGTCAGCCTCAAGACAGAGGGGTGGTATTTATGAAAGCTGAAAACGGGCCAGGGGTTTCCGAAGCGATGGAGACAGACACCATCACCAGTCTTTGCAAGGGACAGCCATCCTGCAAATATTCAGTGGCACATGGGATGCTCTCGAGCTGAAGTAGTAAGAATGTGAGGGAACATAAGAGTGGCCGAGAGTGTAGGACATTCCAGGAGAGGGTTAGGAAGGGAAAGGATTTTGGCAAAACCACAGGTCCTAACCCAGTCCTGCTGGTTTGGACAAGTAGAGTTTCTGTATAGGCTGGGAGAAAACAGAACAGAAACCTTAGCAGAAAAGGGTTTCTGGCCTAGATGCATTCATCCCAGAGGAGCTGCAGAGCTGGGGTGGTGGTGGGGTCCCCCTGAAATGAGACACTGCCCAGTGGTCACAGCCAGGGTAGAACCGAAGAAGCCGGTTGGCCCATGAACGGTTTTTCTTCCTGCCTGTCACACCAAGGGGATTCTCTTCCTATGTAACGTAATAAATTCCCCTGTAATCTCAAGATGCAGGTAACAGCTTGGTCCTGGTGAGAAATGACTGGCTTCATGTTTCCCCCAGTATGATTTCCTGTACATACAGCGAGGGGCCCTGCCCACTCCCCTGCAGAGCTCAGGAGCCGAGCCTAGAAGGGAAAAACAAGGCTGATTCATGTTTGTGATTAACTTCTCACCTAATGCTGTAATCCCATACATGGACCTGGCCCAGCTTGTCGCTGCTTGGCTGGGAACTTGGTTGTTGGAAGAAGGGTAGGTGGCTGCAGATTCTGTGCCAACCTGGGCTCCAGTCACACTGCCAGAACCACCCTCTGTGGGCTGTGCCTCAGATCTCCCTGCTTTGGGACACCTTTTTCAGTCTTGCCCCCTGTGTGGCCCCATGGCATTTCATTTGCACCTCTTTCCTGTCATTTGCCTTTTCTTCACTTGCAGTTATCGATGAGCTCCCTGAGGTGGGGGCAACCATGTTTTCCTTCTCTTTAAACCTTCTCAAGCCCAATGCCAGGCACGGCGCGTTTAGCGCTCAGCAAATCACAGTGAAATGAACTGAACAGCAGAGGATGACCTCCCTGAAACGACTGCCCTGGATAGAAAAGAAGCACACATCAAATTCCAGCCCCTGGCCGGCAGGGCAGATGCGACCTCCTTCTGCTTTTCTTGACAATAATCCCGGCCCCTTGTTATGATAAACTACTTGCTCCTTGCTCGGCAGTACATTCAGGAACTGGACTGCTGCCAACGAAAACACAGGAGCTATGGTAGGACTATTGAAATAAATTAATGGCCTATGATAAATACAGGAAAAACAGTGCTAGTTAATAAGCTCACACACCAATGAAATCATATGTTATTTAAGAAGAGGAGGAGGTTTTTACATAAATGTGTGTGATTTTAAATAATAAGGATGATTTTTAAAAACCCAAGTAATTCACAACCTTTTTAGCCAAGCAAATGCTAGCCCTGTAAGATATCAATACCTTGGGAAGCTGCAGTTGTCTGAAACAATTCTATTATTCTTTTTGGCAGCCTTCAGGGCTGGTTTGGAAGCAAAATTAAATATATTAGTTGATAATTATGCTTTTTGGTTTAAGTCCCAAATGGTATCACCCAGTGTGATTACTGGCCTGACCTATCAGATTTGACTCTGAATTATTTTTGATAGTTTCCAAAAATCAAATGCACACTCAATAAAACCAAATCTTTGCTATTCCTCAAGCATGCAAAAAGAAGGTACGGTAAATTCTGGAGTTCCAAAGAGAGATTCCAAAACTGTTTCACGAACAAGAAAAATGTCAGTGTCGACCTCGCAGGTGAACACTGCAAATATGCGAGTTCAGATTTCTTTGTTTGAAGATCTGTCATGTCATCTTAGAATCAGCGTTCATACTTACTCATTCTGGGCAGACTGTCATCAGGTTCGGTTTGCACAAAACAATTGACCCAAATCAAGGAATTTAAACTTTGAGTACTAGACCAGCTATGACATTTGGATCAGTGGGAGCCTTTGCAAATCAATATGAAAACTCGAGCAGCCCACACGGGTGTTTCACCAGCTGGCCACCCGGCAGGAGGCACATGCAGTGAAATAACTAAAAGCAGCCTCCTTTACTTCTAACCTGGCATAAATCACTCTGGTTCGATTTCGAGGGGGTGGGTGGTGCAGGAACGCCTGCGTCAAGCCCCAGCGCTACATGGCTAATCGAGACCGTGGGTGTTCTCAATGTGGTATTCAGGCCTGGTTTGCCTTCCTGATGGTAGAATGCCATGACCCACTTCCAGATGAGAGTAAACACACTCCCAGCACTTTGTGCTTAATGCAAATTGAACCCCAGAGAGGCCTGGGTGGTAGAAGAAAAGCTCTGCAATGCAGCACCTTGGGAAAGGGAGCTGGTCAGAAATCCCTGCTACCCAAGATCTCATTCATGTTATCCCAGTAGGTATATCCCCTTTCTCTCTCTTTTCCTTTCCCTCCTCAGAACTCTAAGTAAATGCAAGAGCAGTAACTGACTGTGTAAATCACCCCATTTGTTTGTGAAGCTAAAGACCTACCTCCTCCACCCCCACCTAACACAGTGGCAATAGTAACTCCCAGTTCTCTCCCAACTCTAGGACACTTCCAACCTGTAAAACCCACCTGCTCTGTCACCCTCAGCTTCTGGTGTCTACTTTCTAGACTGAAGGCAATACTGGAAAGGTCGGATGCAAGGGCTTTCAGGTTAGTAAAACTCCAGCTGGCATGGCTTCCACCATCTCATTAACGGAGAACAAACACACACTCACACTCCTTGGGAAAAGTACCTGCTGGCTTTCTTCCCTTATTACTGGGAATAAATCAGCAGAGACTCACAGAAAGGGGAAGGCAGGAGGAGAAGATCTCTAAGACATAATCTACACCCAAAGGCATCCTTGGCCATGAATCCCATAAAGGCATATCAAAAAGAGCTAACACTTTTTGAAACCCAGGTGGTCCCTGACCTAACCTATAACATCCCGAGGCATAGGCAGGTCTGAGTCAGCTATCCTATTGCCCACTATTCTTCAAAGGATGTCACTGAGATTCTTAATCAGTGTGCAGGGATCCATAGATTGGTGGGGAATGGGCGAGAGTGTGACTTTTCAGGGGCTTCCATTCCACTTGGGATGATTAGGGACATAGATTCTGAAGCCAGACTACCTGAATTTGAATCTGGGCCTACCACTTACTAACTGTGTGACTTTGGGCAACCTACTCAACACTTCTGTGCCTCAATTTCTATTTCTGTAGAAAGGGTATAATAATAGTACCTTCCATGTAGGGTCACTGTGAAGATTATTGGATTGAATCTAGGCCTGCAACAGTGTTGGACACATAGATTGTGCTGTATCAGGGTTAGCTGTAAGGATTTGGAGAACTACATTATATGTCAAAAGTTATGTCCAGTTAGAACAAAGCCATGTACAAGAATGCATACTTTGGAATTGGAGCAAAAAGAGAAATCTGTGGGCTGGAAATAGGCAGAAGGGGCTTCTCAGGAGAGGTGGGGCCTGAATCCAGAACTTTCAGAGATGGGCATGGTCTACCCTGACCCTTTTTCTGTAACCTAGATTGACCACTCATGAATATGGGGCTGCCACCCCTAAGGAGGACCTCAGGTATCTTTTCCCAAGCAAACGTTCTGGATCTGCCCATTCTGCGGCTCACTTCCCCAGCTGGTCTTTTGGCTTCATCTTTGATTGCTGGCTCTTGTGCTATTGGATCAGGTTAGAGATTTCAGTTCACGTCAACAAACTTTAGGACAGGTCTATTCTGAGTGAGGCACTGGGGCCAAAAAGGTGAGGACCTAACAATATCAAATATCACTCTCAAGAAGCTCCTAGTTGGTGTTGACAGAGGAGGGAACAGTTTTATAATTCACTGTGTTGGGAGTGGTTGCTATGGGAGCAGAGGGGAGGAGGGCTTGGCCCAAGGGCAGAGAGAGAGGTCAGTGAGTCTTCAAGTGTGACAGGGACAAGCCAGGGCCAGGGGCCATGAGGAGCATACAGGAGGAATGGCTGTCCAAACAGGAGGAAGTGCTTGAAGTTTAGTTTGGACTCCAGCACTCTCTTGGAACACTGGATGGTGCTTTCCTTCCATCTCCCACTGCCTTCAGCCCCTTTGAAAGCTCCGGTTGGCCAGGGTTGACAAGCATCTGTGCTGGGCTGGCCTCAGGCCTCCTAATAGGCCAGCTTGAGACTGGGCAGGGTGGGGGACTGGAGGGGGTGGTGAGGACTCTCCAGGCAGGAGACACACCATAAGGACAGGCTGCAACAGGATGATCCAGTGGAGTTATGGGCACAGTACCAATGTTAAAACCCGATCTCACAATCAGTAGCTCTGTCATCTGGAGCAAGTTACTTTGCTTCTCTGGAATCTTGATTATAAAATAGGTGAAATAATACTTGGAGGAGTGGTTATGAGGCTTGAGTGAGATACATGAGGAACACCCAATAAGCTCCTACTATTATGTGCTGGGCTGGGTGGGCCAGGCCCCATCCCCACTCTGCCATCCTGCTGTCTGTGTTCACAATACTAAATGGCACTTAGATCATTAGCTGTCAAAACAAATCAGGGAACTCAGGACACCTCTCTTTGAAACGGCTTTTAAACAGCCAATGTTTGATAAAAATTAGACGGTGAGAATGTTGGTCGTTACCCCAGCAAGAGCCCAGTCAGGTTGCAACTGTGTTAGACCCTCCCAGAGAGCCTGACTGAGTTTGGAGGGCTGGTGCCTGGCCTAGAGGAGGAGTCTGTAGGCTGCAGAGTTGCACATCCTACTCAGATTAAGGAAGTGGCCAATTAGGTCATTTCAGGCAGGTCATGAGACAGCCATTGGACAGCAGCATTCACTCGGTCACTTTAGATGGCCTTGGTGAAATGCTCCCTATCTCAGCGCCAAACCTAAGCTATCTCTTTTCCATATTCCTGCAACATGAATCAGCCTAGTCAAAGATGCAGAAATTTGGCCTGGAAATTGTCCAAGAAGAAGAGAGAAAAAGAAGAAGAAGAATGTGTTCTTCATAGGGCTATGGCATTGTTTATAGTGTTCCCAACGTTTGAACTACTTTAGATTAAAAAGTAGTAAGTCGTTTATCATATAAACCAAGGTGTGAAGCAGCAACCCCATACATTGTTCGTAGGGGCAAAAACTGATGCAAGTCAGTTTGGCAATATCTATCACAATCTCACATTTTGGCAAGGGAACACTTAATGAAGTAGTTCCACTTGTAAGAATGTATCCTACAAGTGTTCTCACTTGTATAAAATGAAAAATGTACCATGTCTCTTTTTAATTGTAGAATTATTTGCAAAAGATTGTAAGTAATTTAAATATCAATCAATAGAGGACTTGATAAATTACAGAGTAGAATATTATGCAGGTATGCACATGGTGTATGTATGCATGTGATGGTTAATTTTATATGTCAACTTGACTGGGCTAAGCGATACCCAGATGACTGGTAAAACATCCTGTCTGAGTGTGCCTGTGAGGGTGTTTCCAGAAGAGATTAGCATTTGAGAAGTAGACTGAGTAAAGAAGATCCACCCTCCCCAGTGTGGGTGGGCATAATCCAACCTGTTGAGGGACTGACTCAAACAAAAAGGCTAAACAAGGGCAAATTTGGTCTTGCTCCTTTAGTGGGGACATCTATCTTCTGTCTTCAAACATCAGAGCTTCTTGTTCCTGGGCCTTCAGACTTGGACTAGGACTTCACGACCAGCTGTCCTGGTTCTCTAGCTTGTAGACAGCAGATCGTAGAACTTCTTAGCCTCCATCATCACGTGAGCCAATCTTTCCAATCTTTCATAATAAATCTCCTCTCTTTCTCTCTCTCTCTCTCTCTTTCTCTGTCTGTCTGTGTGTGTGTGTGTGTGTGTGTGTGTGTGTGTGTACAGAGAGATTCTGTATCTCATCGGTTCCGTTTCTCTGGAGAACCCTGGCTAATACAGTGTACAGGTGTGTATATGTTCTATGCATGCATATATCTCCAAAAAATGTTAAGTCAAAAAAGCAATTGCAAAACAGCATGTATAGCATACTACCATTTGTATATGTGTGTAAACTATTCTGGAAGGATCTTCAAGAAACAAATTATATTGGTGGCTTATGGAGAAAGAAGCTAGTTGGCTGTCAGGGCAGAGGAGAGACTCAACATTCACTTTTCTATACTATTTGAATTTTGAACCCTGTGAATGTGTAACCCATACAAAACATTAAATTTTAAAAGTCACCTTAAAAATGAATGAATACTGTCCACTGACAGATGAATGGATTAGCCGAGTGTAGTATATGAATACAATGGAATATTGTTCAGCCTTTAAAAGGAAGGAAATTCTGACTCAAGCTACAACATGGATGAACTGTGAAGATACTATACTAAGTGAAATAAGCCAGTCACAAAAGCCAGTCTCAAAGGGACAAATATTATATTATTCTGGTTATATGTGGTACCTAGAATAGTCAAATTCATAAAGACAGAAAGTAGAATGGTGGTTGCCAAGGGTTTGGTGAGGGGATAGGAATGGAGAGTTATTGTTTAATGGGTACAGTTTCAGCTTTGTAAGATCGAAAGAATTTTGGAGATTGCATGCATAACAAGTGAATATATTAAAACTACTTGATATAGTTTGGCTGTGTGCCCACACAAATCTCATCTTTAATTGCAGTTCACATAAACCCTACATGTCATTGGAGGGACCTGGTGGGAGACAATTGAATCAGTGGGACTGTTACTCTCATGCTGTTCATGATAGTGAGTGAGTTCTCACAAGATCCAGTGGTTTTATAAGGGGCTTCCCCCTAGCCTTCACTCTCAATTCTTCTCTCTCCTACCTCCATCTGTTTGCTTCCGCCTCCACCATGATTGTAGGTTTTCTGAGGCTTCCCCAGTCCTGTGGAACTGTGAGTCAATTAAACCTCTTTCCTTTATAAATTACCCAGTCTTGGGTATTTCTTCATAGCAGTGTGAGAACGAACTAAAACACTACTGAACTATACATCTTAACTGTACATGGTTAAGATGGAGGCCAGGCGCAGTGGCTCACACCTGTAATCCCAACACCTTGGGAGGCTGAGGCAGGAAGATTGCTTAAGCCTAGGAATTTGAGACCAGCCTGGGCAACAAAGCAAGACCCTGTCTCTACACCCGCCCCCGTCCCCACAAAAAAATTGCCAGGCATGTTGGTGTGCACTTGTAGTTCCAGCTATTTGGGGAGCTGAGGTGGGAGGATGGCTTGAGCCCTGGAGGTTGAGGCTGCAGTGGGCTTTAATTGTACCACCTCACTCCAGCCTGGGCAAGAAGCAAGATCCTCTCTCTCTCTCAAAATAATAATAATAAAAGGGTTAAGATGGTAATTTTTATATGTACTTTACTGTAGTTAAAAATAAGAAAATTATCTATAAAGTAATTTTTTTAACAAAGAACACTTGGTTACATTAATTTAGTCATCCCACCAACGAATGTTCTGACTGCAGCCACCTAGTGTGATGTGTTAGAGGACTTCAGGGGCCTAGTCCTCTGCCTAGCCTTTCCCTCAGCTTTAGCAAGGCCAGATTATCTGATCGCTGTCTGCTTTTGTTTTTTAATCTGAAGAGTAGGAACACGATTTTCCTACCCTGATACTTTAACTGGATTATTGCATATTGATGTTTTTCTACTCAGGTTCCTAACCATTATAACACAGTAGCATCAACCTGCAGGAACAATCTAACCTTATTCTGTGACTTTCCCCAATCCAGGCTTTGTAGAAGGCCATTGTGTCAGTATTTATGAAATGTTTTGAGCTCCCTAGATTTAAATAAGGTTAAATATAAAGGATCCTTTTCACTACTGGGCATGCGTAGCTGCATGTCTTCTGGACACTGCTTGTGATGGTCATTCATACTCAAAGGATGGAGACAGAAAGCACAGATCACAAAATCCTCTGGCCACATGGGGAAGCTGGACCTGAAATGAAGCAGCAGTGTCAATGCTCTGCCAGCCTCAGCTCTATGAGAAAGGTGGCAGAGAGGTGGGAAGGAGGTTCGCACAAAGGCTGGTGGTCGTCCTCTCCATGCTTCTGCCAAATACTACAACCACTTGCCCCAGGCTGGCAAGCCAAATAGTAGCTCCATCCCTACAGGTTACATTATACCCTGAAATCGACATTACAAATCAAACTGGTTAGTTTTAAAGTGCTTTTCACAAGCCTACTAACTTAATCCCTGACTAGTGCCATGGGGGTTGTTAACCGGGTCTCACATCTCCCCAAAACAGCTCTATTTAAGACCTCCACCCCGCCGTTACCCACTCACCAGCCTGCCTTTTTCACTTAGGATGAGGACCCAGAGTGAATGACAATATTCTCCTCTCTTCTATTGACCTAGATTGACCTGAGTGGGAGTTTTAAGACTGATCTCTCTTCTCTCTTCTTATACCAAGTCTAAATTCCATTGCTGGGCTTTCCCTGCCTGCTGCGATTTGACTCTATCTTTCCATATAGCCAACTTCTTACCACCCACACACTCACCTCTGCCTCAGTCCTTGGGCCTGGAAAGGCCCTTTGAATCTTCCTTTACGCTTCTCCTCCATATCCAGGCTCAAGTCCAACCCTCCACCAGCCTAAATCCATCTTTTCCTCCTCTGAATTCCTATGGCATTTATAGTTAGCACCCTACAATTTACTGAACCACTTAATCACATGCTCTCCGGCATTGCTCAGTGATTATTTCTTGCTTTTAGTCTGGCCTCCTGAGTAGATATTGAATCCCAGTGGGGCAGAATCTATACTTTGTAAGTTTTTATTATATCCTTAAGAGTACCTGGTAATAATAATGGTGGTCATTTAGCACTTAGTGTATGTAACACACAGTACTTTATGTATGCTATCTATTTAATACCACAGAACCTCTAATGAGGCATTATCATGCCTATTTCTCAGATGGGAAAACCAAAGCTCAGAGAGAGATATGTGGACAGGCAGCTGGTGACTGGAGCCAGGCCAGTGGCCTTCAAAGGCTTTAGTCAAACTTTTTGACAGATATCAGAAAACTGAAGTAAAGAAAATACTTTCCTGGGATCATCCTCATGTGAAGTGGCAGAACTGAAATTACTGCCAATGTTTCCAAAAACGTAAGCTCCTCAAGAACAGGAACTTTTGTCTGTTTGTTCATTGTTGTAACCCCAATCCTTAGAACTATGCTGGACTCAAAATAGTTGCTCAATAAAATATTTGCTGAATGAACAAATGAAATCTAATCAATCAACAAACCTACTCTGAATGCTCCCCAAGTGTAAGGCACCGCTCCTGTGATGAGAAACGTAATGTAAAAGACATTCTACTTTGCTTGACCGAACCTCACTCACTGCAGAATACTCACAAAGGGCAGTCCAGACACAGAAATGTGACAAAGCCTGCATCCCCAACTTGGTGCCAAATTTGTCCTTTTAGATTTGAGAGGGTAGGGAGCTTCCTATTCCCTGCTGGTTCCTCTCCTCAGTACCCCCTCCATCGAAATAGCCACCATAGCCCAGGAAGAAAGGGAAGCAGTCCCATACCCCAGGAGCAGACTGGCCTGCAGTATCACGTCAGACTCCTGGGATCCAGAAAGGAGTCCCCACTGCTCTGCAAGTCCACACACAGGGGTTCTGGAACTGGAGAGCTGGGGCCTGGATATTAAAATAACACATGCATATCCACAGGCAGGGGGCGTGGGCCCTGCTACTCCTGTAGGTTCTTTTACAAATTTATCTTTAGAAGTCTTTATTTGTGCGAAGTCACTTTGATAAAAACACTTTTTTTGTTGTTGTTTTTTTAAACAATGTAGATCATTTCTTCAGTTTTCTCCTGGCTATATGTGGACACACAATCTTAGATTCAGAGACTAGGAAAAGTATTTTCTGTCTCCTACCTTCTACACGTTTGTAACCTGTGTTCACAACAAAGGTAATCAATTTCCCTACAAGCAGTTGTTCAAGCTAGGCGAGATCAATAAAGGAGATAAAGAAGTTGCATAATTTAAACAAGCAAAAGGAACCATCAGCCACCAAACAAAGCTCACAGTTCCAGCGTAATGATTTGAAATAGTCTTGATGTTTTTTGGTAAGAGATGGAGCCAGGTCATAACCATGTAAAAGTAGTGAAAACAAACCAAGGCTGTGGGGCCCTAATTACTGTCAACTTGTCATTCTCTCCAATTGCCTTGAAGGTTTGTTTCTTTTTAAAATTCAGTGTAACCTTACAGGAGGCAGTAGAAAGGCGGTGACAGTGGAAAGTGGACGGGGCAGATGCAGAGACTTTGAGAATAGTGGGATGTGGAGGTGGAAGGCAGGCTGAGGGCAAAGGGGCTGCCAGGGCTTCTGGGGGGCCCCCAGAAGGCTGATAAGATCCCGAGCGGATGGGAGAAGTGCGAGGGTCCAGTCACGTGTGCAGGAAAGTTGATGAACTCCAGGTTTTTATGCTTGTTCAGGAGGCACCAGCCTCATGCTTAGTTTGTTTCTGAAGCATATCACCCTTACTCTACCTTCTATCTGGAATATTCTTCTCCCAGATCTTCCCATGGCTGGCTCAGCTTCCGCGTCACCTCTTTAGAAAGGCCTCCCTGGCCACCAACCTGAAGTTACCACCTAGTTAGTCTCTTGCCCCCCACTTTTTTTCATCATGGCTCTTGGCACTACCTGAACGTTTCTGGTTTGTTTATCAGTGTATGTCCTCTGCCACTCCCATACCATGGTGTAAGCCCCAGAAGAGCAGAAACTTCCTCTGTCTATCTGACGGTGCGGAAGCCTCAGAGCCTG